CAGAATAATGTCGAAATTGCAGCTATTTTAATAAATATACAGATATATTTCCACACAAATGCTGTCAGAACGTATCGCTCTGTTTGGGAAGCAGATGGAAACATGTAGCATGAAGCATATGTGTACACACGATACACGTGAATTTTATTTTGAAATCAGAAGTTTCAGAAAGCCGACAGCGAGACAGTTTCAACATAGATACCAAAAGCCTTTATATCATTGTTTTCAGCTGTGTTTGGAGTTCGTCTTTCACATAATTTATTGTTTTGCTGTGACTTCCACATTTATCACTGAATTTATCGCGCGATCTCCTTCCTGCACGTCTGTCGGACTGGAGCGGAGTGGAGGTAGTGTAAACTGGACTTGAAATGCACAGCTGCGACCTGCGCAGCGCAGCCGAACGGAGCCGTAACGCATGTAATGTAAATTARGGGTAATGGATGGATAAACTCTGCTTTATTTTCCTAAATATAGTATCCTAACYGACTCATTTTACTACACTTTAATGGAGCGACACCTCAAACTATTCTTTAAAAAGTTGATTTTATTATTGCACGAGGATACAAAATTCTTTTCTATCAAAAAAAAAAACCTCACATCAATTCAGTGCAGTTTACCTGTGGGAATGCAGCATTCATCCAGGTAAATTAAACTAAATTGATGCTACATCACGTGTTAGCTATAAAAAATGTTTTGTCTTACTGATCTTGACTCAGTTACTATTTGAGTTCACTGTTTAACAATAATATAACATGTTTTTATTGTGTCACTAAAAGAAGCAGGAAAAAAACATGTCTTTAAGTTATTTGAACAGGCGTGCATCTGAAATGAATTTGTTGTGAAGCTATCTTAAGTGAGTGAGAAGAAAAGATGTTTTTTGGCTGCCAAAGAGAACTTGTGTTTTTTTTTTATTGAGAATACAAATTATCAGCATGTGATGACAATAAAAGCAGACAGCAAGATGTCAGCCTGACTTTCCTTCTCTACTCTTTCTGTTCCCGAGTTTTAACCACAGCCAGTAGTCTCAGTCATGCTGCTCCAGCCTTCGAACGTGGTTTTCATGCACCGCTAAAACTAACAAACCACCATCGGCACATGTTCCAATGTCCCATTAAAATGTAGGAGGTCCCCTTTATGCCCTTGTTGGCTTATTATGCACTGTGGAAACACAGACTCCATAAAGAAGCGAGGATGTGGGTTACCCACCGTCAGACTGTTTGATGTAAGAAATGCAGTAGTGATAGCACAATGCTRCATTTTGTCATCAAAGAAGAGAAAGATCAAACTTTTACATGGCAAAATGCTTTAACAAGTGCTGGTCTGATGCGACATGTGTGTCGTATTGATGCGATGAGAGCATCAATTCATCAGGTTCAAGTCGCATGGATACAATTACTAACGGACAATTAAACATTTAGGAAATATAAATAATGCATAATAAAAGCTTAAAGTGCCTGTGACATTATTTTTTGTAGAGAATATGAATGCATTTTTTGAAGATAAAATTAATTGTGTGTTGCAAAATAATTCCAACGATAATTAGCACCAATAATTTCACGCCACTGAGTTGAACCGTCATTGAGATATTCGCATGTAACAGGAAGTGATAGGGAAATGTCTGCATGTGAACAGAGCAGTTCTACAATGGCTAGCAACACATATTGTAGAGAACAATCTGATGGTTAGATTGTTTTGAGTCACTATCACAGAGAGATAAAGAGTCAGAATTCAAATTATATTGTTTCAATAAACAAAAAAAAACAGGGAATTCCTTTATTTAAAGAGTTCCTCTTTGATGTCACTTCCTGTTTCACTTTGGCTGAACAAAGTTGAAAAGAAAACATGCCAGTTATGCAACAAAATTGGTAAAAAAAAAATGTGTGCATTATGCCAACTGTCTTAAATATGAAGATGTTTTCTTTGACTTTTTGTGTTTGAAGATGTCACAGGCACTTTAAATGCTATATTACATGATTTGTATAGTCAAGGTCATAGCCCACAATAGAAATATTCATTTTTATGTCAGAAATTGAGAAATACTGTATATTAAATGAATACAAAAAAAAAAAGGAACAAGTCAGCCAAATGTTAGCAAAGAGTGATGACGTCAAGTCATGAACCCCAAACCTGGCATGGATTCCAACCTGGCAGAACACAGTGGTCATCAAAAAACAAAAATAGCGATGTTCTCCAGCTCAAATGATGACCAAGTTTCCAAAATAAAAGCAAAAAAAATAAAATAAAATAAAAAACCCTGCTCTTACTCATATAATTTTAAGTTTTTGATGTCAGAATAGCAAAAAAAAAAAGTCTGATGGAAAAGTGTCTCATAACTGGGAGCACAGGAGTGCCTGCCACCCACATTGAGGCTCTGGACGATAGAGCCACAATTGCAAACCCACAGAGCTCCGTGCAGCCAGGAAAAAAAAAGGGGCAAAGGAACTAAAATCCTTCCTTTTGTCTCAATACTGTCCCCAAGGTGACTACCCACAGCACCACAAAACCCCAATACCCATGATTTCTTCTACGCGGTTGTGAGGGTTTTTATTTTTCAGTGCTCTTGCCTGTTTGGCAGTTCTCTACTCTGACATCCTTGAGCTGAAGCTGCAGCTCATCCCTGTCGCTGTCTCACCTGCAGCTTTGATAGCTTTCATCAGTTGGTGGGGAGCTGAGCTGGATCAGTTTGGGATGTTCCCTTTGGAACGGTCTTTTTTTGTCTTTAAAACAATCAAATTTGTAGGAAAAAAAAACCAACCGGTATAGACTTGCACGATGCAACAGGAACATGCAAGTCATCACATTCTTTTATCACTCCATATATACATGTAGGTCAATCTGAAAAAAAAAAAAATTAATATTCTAAAAAAAATAACTTTTTGTCAATCATTTTAGAAAGTAAAACTCATATCATAAGTGAGAAACTTCAGTCTTTATTCCTTATAATTTGTATGATTATGGCTTACAAATAATAATAAGAAAATCCTTTTTTTCAGGGTCTCAAAATGAGAAATTTTATTTCTTGGACATATTTTTTTATTTCTCCTATGTTCTTTAAGACCATTATAAGCTTTTCATTAAAAGAAAAAAGTTTTTAAAAAGTTTTTTTAGGCTTAAAAGACGCATACAGTATAAAAGAAAACATTAAACGAAAAAGGCTGAATGGTAGTTCTTCACATTGCACGACTGAACCTTTTGTTTTACTCTGTATAATGTTGCAWATGCAGACCCACAGATGCTACGTTTCCTTTTTTCCTGGGACTAAGCAAAGCTAGATACACAATAGATACAAATGCAGCAATCTCTTTAAGTCTGTCTTGGGTCAGCAGGGGAAAAAACTACAAAAAAACACCTCCCTTGGTGTTCCACACTCCCCTCTAGACCATTTCCACAACTCCTCCGGGTTTTTGTAACATGCATTGGGCTTCAGAGGAAACCTGCTGTGCCTGCTATAATACAGACATGCTCAGWGAGGCTGTGGGAGCACTCGGGGCTACCTCGGTTTTTTGTGGGAGAGGAGAGTTGAGAGAGGAGAGGGAATTCTCACGTTTCCCACATCCTGCTCCAAGCTCTGATTCAGTTCAGTCCGCCTTATCCTGCTTTTATATTACGTATACGTGCCTTACGGTTTTCCTCTGCAACGATCAGTCTTTTAAGTGCTAATTACCATAGCTGACATCTAATTTAGTTAATTTAACTACCGTACATATTCAAGTATAATACGTAAAATTTAATCCATAAAATCATCCATAAAGTTGGGGGTAATATTATACTCGGATAAATATTTTTACTTATGTATTTTAACTGAAATATCGGCATCATTCACAAAATGCCTGAGTCTGGAAATGAGACCACGTTGTGAAAAGCAGTTGAAACAAGCTCACCTGTGACACTCCTCTGTGCTTCAGAGCGAGATAATAACAGATCCAGGCARGCGGCAATGGTGAAAAAAAGTGGGGAGCAGTCCTGCACCTTAGTAATGATAACGAACTAATGACATTAGCATGTAACTGGGCCGTTCCTGGAACAACAACAAACACATGTTCGTCTGTAATGGCTGCCATCTACCAGTGTTCTGAAAAAGTTTGTATCTCTGAAAAAAGTTTCCCCACCAGAGGGGGCGCTCGCGAGTAGGAAGTGATCTGCTTTTCCCCCAGAAGATGGCCCAAACCTCATGTGAAGTCTCTGACTTTTGTGTTGGCGCATCCTGGTGGACTATGTGTAAAATGCCAGAATTCATATGATGCTGCTACAAAGCTCAAAATCATAGTTTGCTGATATATATTTGTTGTCAAAATACCTTTTAGTACATACAGTATGTTGTTAAAATAAAACGAACAGTCCAATGATCATTTTACTGATGTGTATAAAGACTGCAAAGGCTGAAAAATCTTGAAGTCTGTATGAAATTGGAGGTAGTTTGAGGATTCAATTTTTTATGCTTTTTAAGCTAAAAAATAGTGGGGGTTGTATTATACATGAGATCATATTTTACACGAATAAAAAGTAGAGGGAAAAATGAGCAGTGCAGTGTCCTGCAGAACCCTGACCTACAATATAAAGTGCAAGAAACAAATGGAAAAAGTGGGAAGGACAATTTCATTGTGCAAGTGTTTCTTTTCTGTTAAACATTTCTGTCTGGAGACGTTGCACAGACTGAGTTACTTATAAACTGTGCGAGAGCATCCATTATTGATGCTCTGTCTTTGGCAGAGGTCCTCCGGGGCACAGCGCATCCACTCCTAAGAACAAGACGGGAGCTTTTACGCCTTCCCAGCCACGCAGTCCGCAAATATTGTTTAATAATGTTGTGTCATGATGTGTCAAAAGCTTTGTTGCGCTCATGTAATCTTTAATGCAAGACTCAAAGTTATTGCAAACACTGTTTGCACTCTATCAGTGGTCTATGTTTTTGTTTGCACATTGTTTGGAGCATAAAGCTCAAATTTGACATGTAAGTTGATCTAATTCTATATTTTTGTTTTGTTTTTGTTTTTTGACAGGAATTTCTCCAGACAAGGCTGAACAGCAGGACGAGTTAACCAAACCACGCCGTGAGACCACCGTACCTCTGTTGCTAAAGGGGTTGGAGCGCAGACCTCTCAGCCAGCTCAGATCTGGGGTAAAATATGTCACCATTTAAAAGAATAAATAAATGGCTGCCTTTGTTATTTGTTATTGTCTGACATAACCACAGTTTATTTTCACCTCCTGCCACACTTACTTGGTGTTCCTGCTTGTGTTTATTTTTTGTCCTTATTGCTCTGTTCCGCTCTCTTTTATCTCAACCTGTTGCTTACATATGAGCTATGCCCTTTAGGCGATTTAAAATTATAGCTCAATCAAATCCTTGCTGTTGTTTTACAAGCCATTGCATGCTCTTAGAATTGGGTATTATAGTCATTTTTCATGCGCTATAAACAAAGCATAAAAAGTTAAAGACCTAACATCCCTTGAAGTAATGTACATCGCCTTTATGTTAAGAAATGGCAGAATAGTAGACATTTTTGGGGCAAACCTTAAAAATAACATTATGCACAGTCTCAAGCAATATTACAATTGAAATGTCATGCTCAAAGTATGTGTTGTGAAAGACTCTCAGCTATGACCAAGTCAATTTTATCTCAGTATTTGTAATTATAGCCTGCATTTTTTTGATGTGGTGGCCATTTTGAATTATGATGACTATAAAGGTGAATCGGTTGTAAAAATACATTCTATTATTACAGTATTTTCTCAGAGTTCTATTTCTTTTTTTTCCCAGTGGTTTATGGGATAGTTTGCTAACAGGCAAACAAGATTGATTCCAACAGTTTTACTGTTTATAAAGACTTTGTCCAAGATTTGGTGCATAAAATATTTTAAGCTAATATTTTTCCGCTACATCTGCACCTCTTTTTTTATGCACAGTATTTGAAAACCTACTGAAATATAGCCATATTTGTGTTTTCTAGGGTCAGTTAGCTGCAACAGCCATTAGAAGATATACACCTAATGGTTACTTACTTGCTTACAGTTACTTTTTTTTTTTTTTTGGCCAGTGAGTCATGTGATAAATGTTGCTAATATACAAACAGAGCCACACAGACAATGGCGAGAACATTATCACTCTGCATGGACATTTTGGTAGCAGGGATACAGTCACAAAATATATACACTCACCGGCCACTTTATTAGGTATACCACCCTAGTAACGGGTTGGACCCCCTTTTGCCTTCAGAACTGCCTCAATTC